TAAAACTTATATGCATGTACACAAATTAAGATATTATAATGAATAGACAAAATGAAACCAATCATTTAAAACCCTCTTGGTTTCCTCTATTTATAACAAAAATTAACATTTGCTAAACTACTCTTACACAGATACTATATTAAGACTTTTACATCCCTTATCTGACAACATTTATACAGCCTTGTTAAAAAGATGTAAAACTTAGGCATGATAAGGGTAAATAGTTTGTCTAATTCAAACTCTAGCCATCTAACTGCAGAGTATATAAGAATGTAGTCATATTTCAAGGTTATTTTAGAAATTATTGGGGCGGGGATTTAGCTCAGTGGTTCCGCCAAGTGACTTGCAAGTATCCAAGTTTGATCCCCGGTACCAAAACAAAAAAGTAATTAAATAGAAATTATTATTTCAATGGAAATTATTAAGCTTTAAAATATAGTAAGAATTATCTTTTTTGAAACATAAAACAAACTCTAGTTATAGTACTTAAGATAGATGATATGCTACAATTTAATTGTAAGATGAGAAAATAATGATGTATACAAGTACTCTAGAAAATGAAAGGGCATTGTCTTGAAAATGTGAATATTTGTATAACTTCCAACTAACAAACCTACTCTTAAGTATATACTCTAAAGAAACATTTATGCACTGAGGATATAGCTCAGTGGTAGAGTGTTTGCCTAGCATGTGCAAGGCCCCAGGTTCGATCCTAAGTACCACCACCAAAAAAAAAAAAAAATCACATTCATCACAAGATATGTACAAAAAGATTCATAACAGCACTATTTATAACAGCAAAAATCTTGAAACAATTCAAATGTCCATCATCAAACACACACACACACACGGACACACACACGGACACACACACACACGGACAGGGACACAGACACAGTTTGGCATGTTTAAATAGTAAAAAAATTTCTTCACTGGAAATAAATGATCTACAACTTTTTGCGACAATATAACAAAATATACATGTACCAAATACCATGACAAATGTACTGCAAACATGTAAGCATAAAAATCTGAAAAAATATGATGAAATACAAAAAACAGCACTGAAAACAAAAAACCTCAAGGCAACATCTAAAATATTTTTACAAAGCTCAGAAATACATGTAACCAAGTGAAACATTTACATATATATAAAAACATGATTATAAAAGCGATAAACTTTACCACAGTAAAATTCACATAAAATTAACCAACTTAAAACATATAATAGAATCCTATTTAATACATTCATAGAACTTTCATTTCAAAAATAAAAAATCTGGGGCTGGGGATTTAGCTCAGTGGTTCCACCGCCTGCTTCTCAAGTACAAGGTCCAAAGTTCAATCCCTGATACTAAATAAAGAAATAAATAAAATTTTTAAAAATTAAAAATCTGTACACTTTATTTATATATCACTTCTCCAATCCTTTCAGTTTCCCCCATCCGATTTACTTTCTGTCTGTATACAATTGTCTATTCTCAACAATTCAGAGTGGAAGAAAAATATGTGGGCTTCTGTTTCTGACTTCTTTCACTCAACATATTTTCAAGGGTCTTCTACATTGTAGCATGTAGTAGTACTTCACTCTTTTTCCATTGCAGAAATTTTTTATGCAAGTGAATAAAATTAAAGTCAGTGGTTAACTCTAGGAGGAAGAAAAGGATTGAATAGGAAAAAAATATTGGTTGGGGTAAACTACTGTTAATATTCCAGTTATTCAGATAGGCAGTCCTCATTATATCTTATAACTAATACATGTTACATGAATTCCTTTGTAAGGGAAATAATGTCTACCTCAGACTGTTAAACAAAATAATATAAAAGACATAAAACCTGGGCTGGAAGTTGGCAAGCCCTCAGTACATGGATGACACTATTTTACTGGCTTCATCAGTTTCATCATAATGAGATTTCACAGATTATCAATTTAATTCTCACATATTCATTGGGATTTTAACAGTAGTGATAATTCACATTTTACAAATGACCCATCCAAGGCTGCACTAGGGTAACTGAGGGAAGATTCAAGTCAAAATTCTCCAGCTGTTTATCTAAGACTCTTTTTCACTGGAATAATTTCCCAAACTAATATTTGTATTATTTCTATATTAAAACTAAAAGTGAAATGGCCTCACCTGAAATGTCGATTCATTTATTCAATTCTACATTATCAAGTTTACTCCATAGCATATACTTCTGCCTTTTTCATCAAATATTTATCTCCACAGAGGATTAAAAAGGATGCTTTAATAATGTGTCATAAACAACGTTTAAGCCTCTGCATATACTCTTATGTATGCCTCACAACAAAGCTCCAAGATCTGAATCAACATCCATTTGCAAAATATGAAGACTGAAACTTGGAAAGCACAAAAATGAAATTATTCCAAGCCAGGCACTGTGTGGTGCACACCTGTAATCCCAGCACTCAGGAAGCTGAGGCAGGACAATAGCTGAGAGTCCAAAGCCAGCCTGAACTACATAGTGAGACCCTGCCAGAAAGAAAGAAGAGAGGGAGAGAGGGAGAGAGGAGAACTGTATTCCAGTTCTGCTAGTTTCTAGTTGAACACTTTAAGTTAAATAGTATTAAGATTAATTTTTACTTTGTATTAACCCTTTAACTAGGACTTAATATGAGAAAATACATGTCAGCAGAAGTAGAAAAAAAATGTAAATAATATTAACAACTTATTTTCTAGCGCTGACTGGTGACTTACACTAGTCTTTTCATTGTATTAGCTGACTTAATAAAATTAATCCATACACAAGGTCCCACTTTGTACCTGATTTACAAATAAGGAAACAGAAAGGAGAGGTAAATTCATCCAAGGTCATATAACTTCTAAGAAGGACAGCAGAACTGTAACTCAATTACTGATAGTACCTTGAACAAATATATACACCACAGCAAGTCACATGCAGAAGGCTCTCATAGTAATCTTTTACTTTATTTTCCAAAAATTCATTCCTTACCCTTTGAGTAAATGTATCAACAAATATTATAGCCTATTTAGTCTCTCCTCACAAAATGAAACAGTATCTACCTCCTTTATAGCTATATTTTCATTGTTATCACAGTGCTTAGCATACAGAACTATAACTAAAATAGTACCAAATTAGTTATTAAAAATTACTGTATTATTTAATGGTTCTTGTTGGTAAGCTGAAGAATGTAACAAGGTACATAATTAAGTTTCAGAATTACCAAAAATTCTACATGTGGTTTAGAATATATAGACTAGAACATGTATCAATCACAATTGTTACTACAGAGCTATGTAAAAGCAACATGCTCCCTTTCCCCCTAAATAATGCAAAGTAAATGTCATTTAATTTTTATTGATATAACTTATAATGCTGTAAAATATTATATGTCATATGTAAAACAAGCATGTGATAGTTAAGAAGGAAAATTAAGAATCTTCACAAAGGAGACCAAAACTGTGGGGTTTTGTTTTGTATTTTTGTAATACTGGGAAGTGAATCCAGGGCTTCTAAACTAACCTACATCCCCTGAACTTTCTTTATATTTTAATTTTAAGATAGTCTCACAAAATTGCTAAGTTTCCCTGGCTGGGCCCAAATTTGCAATTCTCCTGCCTCAGCTGTCCAGAGTGCTAGGATAACAAGCACGTACCACCATACCCAGTCTTAATCTAGGATTCTCCTAACCTCCCTATAATTATTTACTAAATATTTTACATGTGCATTTTTCCTACAACAGAGCATCAACCTTTTATTACATTACCAAAAAAACCAGATGACCTGCAAAACTGTTAAGAAATCAAGGCAATTATTTTATTTATGGAAGAATGTACACTATTTTCTTACTTACCAGAAATATCCATGAATGCACGATCCCATAATTCACTTACTGTATAGCACTCTGCAGAAGTGATGTTGACTGAAAGGACAATATCATCTTCAACATATTTCAGTATGAGATTGTTTATAACAATGTTTACATTATTTACAACTCGTCTAATCAGACTCTGCACATATCCTATAAAGTAAAACAAAAGTGTTCAATTAGCCACAAGTCTATAGGTAATTATTTCTTAAAATGCTGCTGAACTTTATGTGCAAGGTAGGCATAATTTAGCACACTCTGAAAAAAGGAAACTAAAATTTAGATAGGATTAAAGATTTGCCAAAGTAATATTATAAGTAGTAAATCCAGCCCAAAAACACTTTTACCCAAGTTTTATAATGAAGTATATATGTATTAAGAGAAACCACAAAGACTATATTTTTCAATAACATAATAGATCACATACAAGGATTACCCTACACTGAAAGTACTCCTGTTTTTGCCTATTTTATAAACATCTTTTAAATGCAGCAAGGTTACTATTGGTGAATATACAACATATTAGACGAGCCTGTTTAAATTTCTTTTTTCTTAACTAGCTAACATCATCATCATTTTCCTTTCACCATAAAAATATCCACAAGTTATAACTGATGGAAGATAGGATAAATGTAATCAAGCTAAAAAATCAACTATATTGACTTACTAGCATGTAATATTGAAACAAAAGTAGAACAGAATACATGAATGCTTTTCTTAGGTTTATGTTACTTCTGCCTTCTGGGTTTATGCATTGTATAAATGCATAGCTATCTTCTCTGTTAATCTATTAAGTCCTAAAAGGAAAATTTTCTATTCTTTGATATTCTTAAATTAAAATAACCATGTATCGGGGCCAGGGATTTAGCTCAGTGCTGCCACTGTCTGCCTCGCAAGTACAAGGTCCTGAGTTCAATCCCTGGTACCAAAAATAAAAAATACAAATAACCATGTATCAAATACTTTTGGTTACAAAGAAAGAGCATATGACACTGATTCATCTGACTTGGTCAATGGGAAGTTAAGTTCTAAAAATCAGAAACTCCATGGTTGACAACTTAGTTAAATGATTTAGAAACACCTTTGTCGAATTTTGACATAAAACTTTCTCATAAATTAGCAACTTAACTCCAAAGTTATGCAACATCCATGATAAAGACAACTTAAACAGTTAAAGAGAAAATAAGTTCGTTATAATGCTGAAGTTATTTCAAGGTTTAAGAATTTTTTCAATGTCTAAGAATAAGAAATATTGTCAATAAAATATACAATAATATACACACCACAGCAAGTCACATGCAGAAGGCTCTCACAATAACCTTTTACTTTATTTTAAATTTAAATTTAAAAAGCATTCATCAGACTTGATACCTAGTCAATAAAAAGGCAGTTACTTTAGAAGCCACAGAAAACAGCTCTGATTTGAGATATTCACTATACATATTATTACTTAAGATGGTCACAACAGTTACACACAACTAATTAAGAAGGGAAAAAAAATAAGTTATTCAAAAGGAAGACACAATATTATCATTTTGAGAAGATATCAGTATGTTTAGAGAATCCAAAAGAAGCAACTAAAAATCCAGATAGTGATCAACTAACAAAATACAAAAATTAGCTTTTCTACACAAAATGATAAAACAAAAATAAAATTAAAATGGTAATCCAATTAGCAATAAAATATATGAGCATTTTTTCATCTATTAAAGTTTCAAGGAAGTTTTTTTTTTTTTTTTTTTTTTGGTACCGGGGATCAAACTTGGGCCCTTGCGCTTGCAAGGCAGGCGGTGAAACCACTGAGCTAAATCCCCAGCCCTCAAGGAAATATTTTTAATAATAAAAAAACCCAGTACTCCACCAAAATTCAACATAGTAATTCTACCTATAACAAACACTTTTAAATTATTCATAAATTTTGATTGTGAAAATTAGTAAGAGTTTCTTCAAAAGAAATAAGCAGAGGTACTTGGAAAGATTTACCTCACAGTATATTTAAAGCATTTCACAAAACTAAAAAGGACAACCTAAATATCAAACAAAAATCCATTATATAAACTGTGGGTAATTACACAATGTTATTTTGATCACAACACTGATTAAAATAACATTGTAAAAAACATGTCCTGAAAACACATTAGTGGCATAACGTTAAATAGAAAACCCACATTATACAAGAAAGTATGTGCATGTATTGAAAGAAAAGGGTCTCTAAAGATTACACCAAAATGGAAGACTCCAATTCTAGGTAAAGTACCCTCTCTCACCCAGTGAAGTTAACCATAAAACCTGGACAGACATATGGAGCAACTACTTCAAGACTCTGAAAATAATATGCAAGAGGGGGAAAACAGGAGCAAAAAAAAAAAAAAAAAAAAAAAAGAGAGAGAGCTTACAAAGATGAAAAATAAGATGGTAGATTTCAATAAATGTTATATCTTAGGTATAAATGGCATCAATAATTAGTCTAATTGCATTGTGGTCGGACAGGATGGTTTATTTATATGTGATACTTTTAAATTTGTCAAGACTTCCTTTTTGACTAAGTTTCTGTCAATGTAAAATATTTAATGTGTGCATCAAAAGAATGTATACTGTGTTACATGCTGGGTGCTGACTCTGCTACACAGTTCTAAAACAATCTGCCCTCAATAAACAATATTTTGAAATTCATACTTAGTACAATGAAAAAGAGACTCTCCAATTAACACTTTTACTATAATAAATACAATATAAACTTCAGATAGCTTAAAGGACATTATCATAAAAACTAATTTGAAGCAGAATCTATTTTAAAATGGACTGACACGTTAATAAGTACATTTGTGCAACAGCGAAGAATGGCTACCCATTCATAAATTTTGGTTTCCCTTCCAAAATGAGATAAAATTTTATACATAGATAGATAGATAGATAGATAGATAGATAGAGATATCAATGGATGGATGGACAGATGGACAGACAGACAGACATCCTATGCAAATAGTTTCCCTCAATAAAATATGAGCAGAATATGCGTAACTGCAGCCTAGGAATATTATAAGTAGTAGGGAGGTCTTCTCCATTCCTTCTGAGCAAACTGAAAGCACCAGAATCCAAAAGTTAGCCTAGAAGAAACCAAAGACCTCAAATAAAAATATTTTGATAGGACACTATCTTTGGACTAATACATTAAAAAACATTTCCGTTAGGTTAAGCCACTGAAATTTAGCAGTAATTTGTCTACTACTTAACATTACCCTAACTTATAAAATTTGTCATTGTTGTTTTAAGAAAGTTCTATTAGAAAACTAAAATGCAGTCTTAAACAGTAAAAAGCTTTAAAATGTTTAACCAAACATAAAAAAATAAAAAATAAAAGATACAAGCCAGGTGTGGTGGCATGTGCCACGGTGCCAGGATTGGCATTTTTTAAATCATTTGCCAACAGGTTCTTCTCTGCTCTTCAACATTCCAGAAAAGAATGGCTTTAAATTCTTATACCCTCAAAGGCAAACAGAAAGGATGAACATTTCTGCTATCTCCTATAATATTCTGTCACTTTGGAGTCAGGTTCTTGAATAGATAATATATTACAATGTTTTAAATATTTTACCTGATATCTCTTCCAACTATTATTAAACTTCCTTCAAGAGCTTTTATCAGAAAACCAAGTCCTCAAAGCCCAGGATGGCAACCATTTAAATGCAAGCGGACACATGTGTGTCATACACACACAGTCTTTTTTTTTTTTTTTTTTTTTTTTTTCTTGGGGGGACCACATTTTTTTTTTTTTTTTTTTTTTTTTGGCACTGGGGATCAAACTCGGGTCTTTGTGCTTGCAAGGCAGGCACCAGAACCATTGAGCTAAATCTCCAGCCCTGTTCTTTATTTTATATTCAATATTTTCTGAAGAAAACTGAAAAATCTGAGTATATGACTACAATTTAATAATGTCTCACCAAATATTCCAAAATATCTGAATTTCAGTTTTCTCATTCACAAAATGTGGACTAGATCAGAGGCCTAAGTTAAGGTCTATTCACCTATTTTAATAAGTATGCAAATACCCTAAAGCAGTGATAGTGAACCTATGTCACACAGGGCTGTATGTTATCATTGAAAGCTCTAAAAGGTTTTCCATCACTGCCCTAAATAATATACTAATTTTGAATGTGCAAAGGCTGGTGGTGGTGTGGCTTAGTGGTAGAATGTTAGTTTAGCATACATGAAGCCCTCAGTTTGATTCTCAGCACCTTAGTGAATGAATGAATGAAATGTAGAGAACATAAGGAAAGCATAAATGAATAAATAAAGCATCATTAAACTATCTCTCTAAAACAGCATATTTTACAAGATTTACTAAAGCCACAATTCAAGACTTATTATTAGCAGTAAAGATACTGCACTATATTATTAACTTAAAGAAAATGTGTGTGCTTGCAATCAGATTCAAACTCTTTTGAACTTCCCAATAAAAAATATCACATCAGGGCCAGGGGGTTAGCTCACTGGTTCTGCCACCTGCCTCATGAGCTCAAGGTCCCGAGTTTCATTCCAGGTACCCCCCCCCAAAAAAAAATCACATCAAACCTCAGGACATTTCTTGAAATACTACTAACTTTTACTAAATGCCAATATGCTAGGTCGTCTTCCATTCTGATATATTTATAAGTATATATAAATTATATATATCCTGTGAGTCATATATATTTTATGTCTAAATTTGTTGATGGTGGTACTGAGACTGAACCCAGGGTTACATTCCTAGCCATTCCTTTCTCCCATTCTATGATATTCTTTTTTCTTTTCTATTCTATTCTGAGTCAAGCTCTCACTATGTTACTAAATTGCCCAGGCTGGGCCTGAATTTGTGATTATCCTAAAGTGCCAGGATTATAGGCATGCACTACCATGCCTGGCTATGCCATATTTTTTTTTTCAAATACTTGCCATGACCCACTAAATTACTTTAACAATACACTAATTAGTCAAGATCCATATTCTGAAAAAAGAGTGCTCTAGATAACATGAATAAATATTGCAAGGAGGATGTAAGATATTGACTTTTATTCTTTTCCTGTTAGAAAGACACCTATCCTTCAAAGAAGTAAAACGAATGTCTGACTACTGACAATACTAAAATTTTTCTCAAAAATCATCTCTGGCTACATATAAATGCTCAAATTCCAAAACTATAACCACAAACCCCAGAAGAAATAACCCTGCCCGAGAAAACTTTGAAAACAGGAATTTACCTTGCTAGGAAAGAACCTTAATATGACTCCCAGGCAGAATATGGTTGCCAGAAATAGGTCCTCAAATAACCATATGGGTTATCCTTTCAATAAAATACAGATGTTCCTTGTTTAATGACCTGTTTGACGAATGTTCAGACTTACAACCCATCCTTTTTTGTACAGTTCTGTACATCTTGTTAATAAAGCCCTGATGTCTTTTGTGCAGTACACCTTGTTTATATAGCACTGTAATTTTGTACTATACATTACTGTGCTGTAGTTTTATGTTCTGTTATACATGACAGCTCTGGACGTAAAAGTTGTGCAAATAAAAGGCCAAGTCATCAAGTTGGGGTTTCCTCTGACCATTTCTTTTTTCTGAATATTGTAATGTACATACTACATACAATTTCTCCTTTAGCAAACAATTCATGTAACTACCCAGCTGAGGGAATGGAATTTGGTTGTTAACTGAGGAATGTCTGTAATTTACCATTTATCCAATTGGACTCTCAAATTATCCCTTTTTTTCTTTTGTCAAAATTAAGTTTAGCTGCTCTGACTCCCAATAAATGGCCAACAGATTCCTTTAATTTTTTTGTGGGGGTGGGGAGTACTGGAGATCGAACTCAGGACCTTTTACTTGCGAGGCAAGTGCAGTGCCACTGAGCTAAATCCCCAGCCTGATTCATTTACCTCTTAAAGCAACTCCCTAACTACAATTTATATTAACATAACAGAGGATATGAGTGTTCCTGTTAGTTAAAGTAGAAAAGCACATGCTAAACCAAAAGCTACCTCAAGTAGTTTTAGTAGAACACAGTTCTGTTTTATGTCTCAAAAAATAAGATGCTCAGGCTGGGGATTTAGCTCAGCAGCACAGCACATGCCTGGCAAGCGCAAGGTCCCAAGTTCAATCCCTGGTACCAAAACAAACAGACAAACAAACAAAACTGGATGCTCTGTGTTGTATGTCACTAAAAACAGGCCAATTACCATGATACTGGTCTAAATTCTTATATAAGCTCTAGAGGGCCATCTAAAGTGTAGGGAATATATTGAGTACATTCAGGTTAGAAACTTTTTGTGACAACAAATTTAAACTTCTTTTAAAAGCATGTTACTTCTTAAAAGAAATAAAATACAAAGCAAGAGTCAACAATTAAATCTAAAACAGCAGAAAGCTTACAACACTTTGTCATGGAAAAACAAGTATATACCATTGTTCACCATACCTCACAAAAATGACTGAATAATTTTTTAAAAAAAATAAAAAGTGACTAATAACTCCTAACTGTAAAAGGGTAACATTCACTCCGGCCACAGACTGACATGCAGGGACCTTTTTTTTTTTCATTCATACTTACCATGGGACTACTTTTTTAGTAACTGTCCAAGGTAAATAAACACATCAAGAAATAAAAACAGAGATGATCTCTTCCACTTATACAATCTTATAATTTCACTTCCAGACACTCAGAACAATTCACTATCTTTTACCAACATACAAAAGAAAAAAAGTGATCATGAGTCTTTGTTGAGAAGGAGTGTAGGCAACTCAATTACTTGTCATAAAAAAAAAATTAAAATCTGAATGAAAGCCATCTGTCCTCACAAATGTTGGCTCTGGACCCTACGTGTTTTGAAACCATGTAGCAAATGGACATTTATATACTGCCTAACAGTATATATTCTACAAAGCACTAAAACAAGGATCAGTAACAACTGCAATCTGGGCGCTATCAACCTCATTAGAAGTTACCTGGTGGTAAATCAGGATCTGTAGGAGCAGCCTGCTGAATTCTCCGGGGTTTTAGTGATGACTTTGTGTTCTCAGTAGTACTACGATTAGTAGAATTAGAGCCACAGCTTTCATGATCATCCTATTGATATTATAAAGAAAGGAAAAAGAAACACATCAATCACATTAAAGACCCAGGATAAATATTGTGCAATATATGCAGTTTATGGATAATAAGATTACATAGACATAGACTTCTAGCTTTATTTTCTAGTCCTGAAAATCTACACAGTGTAACCAAATTTCATAATGTCCATTTTCAAACAGCATTTTAAAACTAATCAGTAGTTTAACTTATTCCTCTTAACTATGTCTTTTGCAAAAGAAACAATGGTTTAATGGAAGTTCTTAAAAATTTCCATCTCTAAGCACAAAATGAAAAAAGAAAGGTCTTAGTATTCCAAAGTGCTGTTCATATACTTAACTCCTCACTATTTAGAATCCAAGCTATCTTCTTAGTCAACTTTAAAGATTAATCTTAAACATCACTACTCTTCTGTATCCTACTGAACAGTCCTTACTGAATTATTATTCATATTAGAAATAAAGTTTAACTGTTTTCATATCACATAGAAACTTAAATTATACATATTTTAATGTATAATGTACCTCCTTACTTATAAAATTGAGCATTTTTTCCTGTTCTAATTCAATATTTACATAGTGTCCTTATGTTCTAGTCATTGAATTTAATTATTAATATAAATTAGGTATAATGCTTGTCTTAAAGGACTTCTGAATCTATCACATATATAATTAATTCTATGACTGCAGTTACGTTTTTACGTTTAAGTAACAGTAACACAAAGAGTTTTAAATTAAGCCTGTAAATCCAAGGTAGATATATTTTAGGTTAAGATTGGAAGCTAAAGGATGAATAAGAGGGAGAACCATAAGAAAAAGCAAAATAGTATAAATCTATGAAGCATATCTATCATAAGGAATGACGGTTGGTCAAATAAGGGAGAGTATACAAATGTTTAAAATGAAGAACAAGATCACAAGCTAAAGGTATGGATAGATTCAATAATAATATGGTACTAAGTATGACAAAGATACACTTAGTCCTCATTCTAGTTGAACCATTTCAGGATTTGGTAATCCTATCTATAAAGAAATGTAGTTCCAGGTAAAGGATAGGAGTAGAAGCAGTAAATAAGTAGCTCAATGAACAAATAATTTATTTCACTCAACCTTATGATCTCAAGGTACAGCTACTGTTCTACAAATGACTCGTTTATCCTTCTTTATGATAGAGTAGTACTCCATTGTGTGTAAATACTTTGTCTATTGATGGTTATATAGCCTGCTTCCAAGATATAATTATTACAAATTGTGCTGCTATAAACATGGGTTTGCATGTATCATTGTGATATGATTTTTTTAACTTTCCCAAATATTAATAAAGAGCAAGAGACAAAATTCTCCTCAAATGAAAAGGGGATCAAGAGATGGAAGGAGAAAGAAGAGGAGGGAAAAGCAACAAAAAAATTAAGATGTATTATATACATGTACCAATTACCCACAAGGGATGTAATCATTATGTTCTGCAACTGTGTACTAATAATAAAAAATGAATGAAAAGTTATCAACAGACCTTAAAAACATAAACTGTTTCTTCAGAAGATAGGCGTTAGAAGGGAAAAAATCAGGTAGGGTAGTAAAACGATGTAAAGATAGATACCTGATAACTTCTTATTCTCTTTTTTAAAGATAAAAGCACATTTCAAACTGAAAGAAAGATGCAGAGTCAGACAGCAAAGATACCTATATAAAAGATAAATCATGTTGTGCTATACATCAGTTCTATAATCAATAATAACATTTTATAACTTGATGATCATTGTTTCTATTTCATGTATTTAAAGAAAAGTTTAAGAGCAAATAAAAAGAATAATCATTAAATTCACTGCTATAATAAGAAATTAGAAGCAAGTGAGAACCATGAGAAGACCTCCTTTAGAAAAAAGTAAGTCTTGGCCAGGTGTGGAGATACACACCTACAGTCCCAGCTCTTGCGAGGCTGAGGCAGAAGGATCTCTGCATGTTTGAGGCCAGCCTGGGATATAAAGTGATTTCAAGGCCAGCTTGAATTACAAAGCAAGACCATGTTCAAAAAGAATAACAATAATAATTCTTATTCAATATCACACTAAAAGAAATACACAATAATAAAAAGTAAAACTTTTAAAAGAACATGGCTTCAGATGCTAGTGATACTTTAGGGGGGAAATTGTCTGAAAGTTCATACCAGCAAAAAATAAAATATTTGTTAACAAAAAAACAAAATTTTTGCATGAACTTACATTTTTAAACTAATGCCAAGAATAACATCAGAGTATTCCATTCCACCAAGAGCTTCGCAATTCAATTTTTCATATGGCATGCTTTTTTATTTTGAGGGATGCTATAGTCTTTAAATACTGAAAGACTACTACTCTTAATTAAAACTAAATTACAATGTCCAGTTATACACTTCTGCACAATGTTAGCATTAAAAGCATACTATTAATTTCTGAAACATGTGGTTGCCTCAAAAGCCCAGAAGTAAAACATGTTCATTAAAGAGATGTGAAAAAGTTCCAAGTGAACTGCCAAAACTAGCATAATTATGAAAATATTTAACACTAAAACCATCTGAATTCACATACTGCATATAGGTTACAGTGATGTCATAATAAACATTACAGCCAAAATGCACAACTACTGCAGTCCAATAAATTTGATATACAAAAGATGACAAATACTTTAAGGTTAAAGAACGAACATGTTATTTTTATTTTTTAAAAGTTATTTGCAGCAAAATGGGTAGACTAAATATGAATTTCCAATGAGTTAAACACAGTTAATAAAGCTCCCCGACAAAGTATTGTCACTGTTCAAAAGGAAAGTAAACAAAATAACTTTAACTTAAACAAAATCTATAATACTGAAATTTTAGTATACTTAAAAAATGAGCATTAATCATGGTACTCAAAGGAATATAAAAGTTATTTGCAGCAAAATGGGTAGACTAAATATGAATTTCCAATGAGTTAAACACAGTTAATAAAGCTCCCCGACAAAGTATTGTCACTGTTCAAAAGGAAAGTAAACAAAATAACTTTAACTTAAACAAAATCTATAATACTGAAATTTTAGTATACTTAAAAAATGAGCATTAATCATGGTACTCAAAGGAATATATATATACATACATGTTATATTTGAAAATAATATATTACAATATTGTGATATTTTAATATTGTAATAGGTTATATTTTGAAATTTTGAATTTGTTTTCATTTCAACTACATTTTAATTTTATCAATTACAAGTGAGCTTTCATTCAAATCTTGCTCCAATCAAATTAAGTAAAAATAAGGCAAAATAAGAACTATGAATAGAAATATTTACTATTAAAACGAATTGTCTCCAAGAGTTTTGAGTGAATCGTGCTTTCAACCAGTAGGCATCACTTTGGTCTATCACACATTTTTACTTTGTTGAAATCCCACAATTACTAATAAAAGAAACTGTTCTCAAAAATACTAGCTAAAATATTTTGAGATAATTTTTACCCCAAACACATTATGGTTATCTTTCTAATTTAGATTTCAATTTTTCCAAAATTTTGGGTAAGTATATTTCATAGTAAAAGAATGTTTTCTCCTGAGAACCACATAGCTATTTCTTTTTTTTTTCTTTTTTTTCTTTTTTTTTTGGTATCAGCAATTGAACTTGGGTCCTTGCACTTGCATAGCTATTTCTGAAAATACTGCCCTTTGCCAGTCAAGAAACAAGGAAGAATGTCATTTCTTAGGGCTGGGGATTTAGCTCAGTGGTTCTGCTGCCTGCCTCGCAAGCCCAAGCTCAAGGGCCCAAGTTTGATCCCCAGTACCAAAAAAAAAAAAAAGAATGTCATTTTTTTCAAAAGTTTCTAACAGAAAAAAGTTCCTAATAAAAGGAAAATATGGCAACCACTATTCAAATGGATCCATTACTTTCATTCTGACAGATCTTGACTGAATGTTGCATTCCCCTTAGCTTTTATGGGACTAGTCATTCAAAACTTGAAAACTATCAACTACCAGATTCACAAGAATGTAAAGAAATTAAGGGGAAAAACTTGAATAACTCACACCAAGTCCTTATCTAAAATCAGATAAATATGATACTAAAAAAGCAGAAGGAAAACTGAGTGGTGTGAGTTAAGAGGTAATGGGCTTTTGGTCTTCAGCCTCATGGCCGCAAACTTGGCAAGCACAAAAGGAATAAAGATCACTTAGCAGCTCCAGTCAGAAAAAGTCTACTGAAACATTAAAAAAGACTTGGGAACACAGTGCTATAAGGCTCTTATGAACATCTACTTCTATCCTGTCCAGTAGGAAGTACTGCAGCAACTGTCAGATACAATAATGAATCTTTAAGAGTAACAATGAACTTCAAAAAGCCAGAAAACCAAATTAACCAACCAACTCAAAGGTACACCTGGAGAATAAAGAGAGAGCTAGAGAAAACATATCTGCTTTCACTCACCTCTATACACTGAGAAGTATATTAATAATTTAATTTAGGTAACTGCTGTAGTTTGAAGGTATTCCCTAAAAGTTTATCATTGAAAATTTAATCCCCAAATTCATATGTTGATAGCATTTGAATGTGAGGCCTTTGGAAGGTCATGAAGATTAGATGAGGTCATGAAGGTGAGGCTTCTGTTGTCGCAGGAAAGACCTGAGCTAACATACTTGCTTTGTTATGTGGCAGTCTACCCTGCTATGATGCAGCAAGAAAGCCCTTAGTAGATATAAATCAAAGCACATTATATGCATGAATGAGGTGTGATTTTTGAAATACAGTGAATATTTAAATTTTTTAAATTTATTACACGGAAAGATCCATTTGCATTAAATCCCCTCAAATTACTCCCCCTCACTTTGAACACATTTATTTCATCATTCTTGCCACTTTCTGAAGCAGTTCTAGAAATCCTCTTTGATGAATGTCTTTAGTTATGCTGTTGTGGCTGCCTCAATGCTCTGAATCAATTCAAAACATTTATTTTTCATGGTCATTGTGATTTTGAGGAAGAGTCAGAAGTCA